AGAGACAAATACACAGGCACACACATTCGCACACACATACATTCACACAGAGAGACACACTCATGACACAGACACACTCATACAGAGAGACACACAAAGACACACAGAGACATATACACAGACACACATATACACTCACAGACACACACACACACAGACACACACTCCTACAGAGACACACACAGACACAGACACACACTCGCACACAGAAACACATACACTCACACAGACACACAGAGACACACAGACACACACTCATACAGAGAGACACACAAAGACACACAGAGACATATACACAGACACACACACACATACACTCACAGACACACATACACTCACAGACACAGAGAAAATCAAGAGACACATCACAGAGACACACTCAGACACACAGATGGCACACACACACACTCATACAGAGACACCCACAGACACACGTAGAGACACAGACACACTCACAGATACACTCCCAGAGGCCCACACAGACACAGACACACACAGAGACACACTACAGAAACCCACTTACAAAAACACACAGAGCCTGGCGTGAAGCGATGCTCTGTAGCAGGGCAAAAGACAGCAGCCAGAGCCTCACCTCCGCCTGAGACCAAGCCTTGCCCCTGTGAAAGCTGCTCCTCACCCAAGGCCAGCCAGGACGGTGCTGATGCTCTGGGCAGCCAGGTTTCCCTGACTCTGGCCCAGGTGGACTCTGAGTGGAAGGTTCTGGGGCCCTAAAATGGCTTAGAGACATTAAAACTATCTTCCCTTCCCCATCCACCTGTGTGTCTGATTGGTCATTCATTCATTCATTCAACAAACATAATGTGCTATGCCGGGCACTGGGATGTGAACGGGATAGAATTGGGGCCTGGGGGTGGGGCTGAGGCAGAAAGGCAAACCTATCATGTTACTGTGAAAGGTGAGGCCGGCTCCCAGCCCACCTGGGGTGCCTCAACAGACTCTTAAAAGGAAACAGTCACAAGTCTTAGTGGCCCTGCCTGGGGGCTTCCTGGCCCACGGAAGACAGTGGGACACAGCCTCTTTCCTTCCTCCCTGAGCCCTCCTGCTCCACCTCCTCCAGGGTGATCTTCCAGCCCGGCTGATGTAGCTGCTGGGCTGACCACTTGTCTTCCACGACATCTGAACCCTATACCCTCTCACAAGACCCCAGCTTTTAAGCTTTCTCTCTCTCTCTGTCAACTTGCCCAGCAATTCTTAGGGCCCCCAGAGACACCCTCCTCTCTCTCCCCAGCCTCTGGCCAGACCCCAGGGAGGATCGTGCAAGCCCTATGGTCCTGTTACGCATATGAGCCAGAGGTAGGATGTGGTTAGGCAGGGACCAGAAATAAGAATAGGAAACTAAGGATTACCTCCCACTCAGGCCGACATACTCAGAAAACCAGATGGATGGATGGGCAGTGGGGCTGGTGGGCAGGGGGATGGATGAATGGATAGTTGAATGGAGTTGTAGGTGAGATGGATGGATGCACAGATGGATGAAGTGGGGTAGGTGGAGTGGATGGCTGGATAGATGGAGTAGGTAGATGAGGGATGGATGTGGTGGATGGATGGATGGATGGATGGATGGATGGATGGATGGATGGGAGTGGGGTGAGTGAGTGCATGGATGATGGAGTGGGGTGAGTGGAGTGCATGGATGGATGGAGTAGGGTAGGCGAGTGATGGATGGATGGATGGATGGATGGAGTGAGGTGGTGAGTGATAGATTAATGAAATGGGGAGGTGAATGGATGGGTAGATGGAGTTGGATAGGTGAGTGGGTACAATGGGGTAGGGATGGATGGATGGATGGATGGAGTGGTGGTGGGGTATGGATGGGTGGATGGATGGGTGGATGGAGTAGGGTAGATGAGAGATGGATGAGGGATGGATGATGGATGGATGGGTGAATGGATGGAAATGGGGTGGGTGAGTGCATGGATGGATGGAAAGTAGAGTAGGTGAGTGGATGAATGCATGGATGGATGGATGGGGTGGGGTGGGTGAGTGGATGGGTGGATGGATGGATGGATGCATGGATGGATTGAGTAGGGTAGATGAGGGATGGATGGATGGGTGGATGGATGGATGGATGGAGTAGGGTAGGTGAGTGGATAAATTAATGGAATGGGGTAGATGAGTGGATGGATGGATGGAGTAGGGTAGGTGAGTGGATAGATTAGTGGAATGGTAGAGGAGGGATGGGTGGATGGAGTTGTATGAGTGGGTACAGTGGGGTGGGTGAGGGATTGGATGGATGGATGGATGGATGGAGAAGTAGGTGAGTAAATGGATGGATGGATGGATGGATGGATGGATGGATGGATGGAGAAGTAGGTGAGTAAATGGATGGATGGATGGAGTGGGGTGGGTGAGTGGATGGATGGATGCATGATGGAGGGAGTAGGATAGATGAGAGATGGATGGATGATGGATGGATGGATGGAGTAGGGTAGATGAGGGAGGGAGGGAGGGAGGGAGGGAGGGATGGGGGATGGATGGATGGATGGATGGAGTAGGGTAGATGAGGGAGGAGGGAGGAGGGGGAGGGATGGATGGATGGATGGATGGATGGAGTAGGGTAGATGAGGGAGGGAGGGAGGGAGGGAGGGAGGGATGGATGGATGGATGGATGGAGTAGGGTAGATGAGGGAGGGAGGGAGGGATGGATGGATGGATGATGGAGTAGGGGTAGACAGAGGGAGGAGGGATGGATGGATGGATGGATGGATGGATGGATGGACGGATGGATGGATGGAGTAGGGTAGATGAGGGAGGGATGGATGGATGGATGGATGGATGGATGGATGGATGGATGGACGGATGGAGTGGGGTAGGTAGATGGTGGGTGGATGGATGGACCGGTGAATGGGAGAGTGGACAGATGGACCGATAGATGGATGGGTGGCTGTATAGACAGGATGATAAGGGAGGAAGAAAGGAAACCTGGATGACAGTGGCTGCAAGGCGAGGGGGGTGGTCCAGTGGAGTGGAGGAGGCCTACACCAAATTGCCTTCCTGGAGCAAATGCTTGTCTTTTTTCTTTCCCATGAACTGAACCTCCCAGCTTCTCCTGGAGGAACACATTCTGTTTTTAGCTCAACAGACAAGAAAATGTCCCTTGGAGCCTGTTTAATTGTAGTCCATCTGCCTTTGAAGGACTTATATGGTCATGGAGAGGAACTGATGGTACCCACTTGTTAAACCCTTCCTATATTTCAAGACCTTAATTAAAATAAAGTGGCTAGACTAAGTGGGGTTTTCAAACTGGGTTTTAGAGAACACTTATTTTTTTGTAAAATATTTTGAAAGTTTTTAAAACTCTAATTTAAAAAATCGATTCCATTGGAGACCACTGGAATTTCTGAGAGGCACCAGCTAGGCCTGTTTGGTGCCCTCTCTGCTTAAGTGACAATTCTGAGATTTCAAGGTGAGCAGCGGAGAAATGGTTACCATTGGCAACTCCTTATCAATGCGACTTTTCTCTATACCATGTAACAAAGCAAAATAGAGAAGTCAGCTGGATCTGGGTCTGATGGGATTGGAGCTTCCATCTATAACCCCCCAGTTTGAAACATTTGCCTTCCCAAAGCAGTCATTTTGTTCTCATTAGCAGCCTTTAGAGTAAGGAAATATTATGGAGTCAGGTGTATCATTTATTCCTTTTCTTAATTTCACACATTGGGGTTTCCATGTTGGATTTTTTTTTTTAAGGGGGAATTTCATTGATAGTCTTAAATAAAACAGAAAAAAAAAGAAAAAAAGAAAAGAAAAGAAAAGAAACCCACCGGACAAATTCCCAAGAACCCTTTCGGCTCTTCCTGTCTCTGCTTCTGTCCTCTGGGTGGTGTTCAGCTCCCTGCCTTCCTCCCTCTGTGCTGGTGAAACTGGTTCTTAGTTAGGGCTCTTGGTCCCCCTGTCATCCGACTCCAGGCCCCTTTTACCAACAGAGGCCTCACTGGCCCCAGTGACACGTCGTGGGGAGGTGTGTCGTCCTCCGTTAGGTCAATGTTAAGAATTAGCCAGGCTTCTCTTCTGAGCCTTTTATGGGCTGGCCATTCATAAATTTGCCCAAACCCTCAGTGGTCCTGCCAAGGTCACCTTCTGGCGTAATGAGTCCATGTTTATTACCTGCCGGGTGAGGCCATGCTTCCTTCTCAGTGGCAGCCTTGTCACTGCCCTTCCAGAACTTCCTTAGGGGAGTGACTGCAGCTAGATGGGAGGCTCGGCTTAGCTCCTGTGAACCTTGAGGCTGGAATGGTCCTGTCTGTACTACCAGCTGGTGTTAATAATCCTGGCTCTAGACCTAATTGGTGAAGCCAGCTGATTCCTAATGGAGAGCATTCTGGAACATGGTGCACAAAGAGCTCTGCTATTGCCTCTACATTTGCAGGAAATGAACTGGGCTGGTAGGAGGCGGCCTGCTGAAAGTAATATACAAGAAAAACTTCCTAAATACACATCAATAGACTAATCAGAAACGGGCTCAGAAACTACTGGTTCACTTAAGAGTTGATCATATGCCTTTAAAAAGTTATATTGTTGGCTGGGGGCAGTGGCTCGCACATGTAATTTCTAGCACTTGAGAGGCCGAGGTGGGAGGATTGCTTGAACCCAGAAGTTCAAGGCCAGCCTGGGCAACATAAGAATACCCCTACTCTACAAAATTTTTTTTAAAAAATTAGCCAGGTATGGTAGCATGCACCTGTGGTCCCAGCCACTCCGGAGGCTGAGGGGGGAGGATCCCTTGAGCCCAGAAGTTTGAGGTTGCTGTGAGATATGATCGCACTACTGTGCTGTAGCCTGAGAACAAGATCCTGCCTCAGAAAAAGCCAAAAGTTATATTATTAATCTATGTTGTAGTCTTTATCTTTGGGTGGAACCAGGGAGGCCAGTCGTTTCAAGACAAATCACTTTAAATACTGAATTTCTGGCGGCAATTGTTGCATCCCTGTGGCTGGCTTAATGACCATTTGTTCTGCGTTATTATTCTCTTCTTCCAGATTGTTATCTGGGGCCGGACTGAGAAATGCCTGAAGGAGACGACAGAGGAGATCCGGCAGATGGGCACTGAGTGCCATTACTTCATCTGCGATGTGGGCAACCGGGAGGAGGTGTACCAGACGGCCAAGGCTGTCCGAGAGAAGGTCTGTAGCCTGGGAGGGTCTGTTCCTAACACAGCTGACCACAGGCTAATTCCGGGCAAAGAGAACATTCTCATGTGGCCTGAAAGAGAGCTCTGCTTATGGCAGAATGGCTTTGTCCAGGGCACCTTTGGGCGCTCTCCCATGAAGCTGGCCCTAGTTACGTAGACAGGGATTAGGGTTGATTGCGTAACAGGTGTAATCATCTGTTGTTCCCTTGGAAATGTAGACCGTGTGGGTTTCTCTCCAGGACTGTGGCAGGGCAAATGTCCCATTGGCCTCTGGGAAAATCCTTCTCCTGACTCCAGTCATCTGTTTGGACTAAATATATCAGTGAACTCCAAGAGAGGGAAACCCACCCTGAGTGTTTGGCACATGGTAATGTTAACTGTTTTTATGTCACAGTAACCTCATTTATTATAAATATGCTATGTGCCAGGTACAGTGTGTGCCATTAATTATTTCTGCTCCTCAGAACAGTCCTGGTGTGGCATTAGCCCCATCTCACAAATCAAGACTGGTGCTCAGAGAGGCAGTTCCCTTCCCCAGGCCCTGTGGCTGGTGGTGGTGGGGCCGGGTGGCTGCTGGGCCTCTGTGGATGCAGGATAACTGGAACTGGGCTGGCAGGAAGTAGCCTGCAGGAAGGAATATCTAAGAAAAACTGGTAAATAACACATCAATTGATTCATCATAAATGGACTCAGAAATTACTCGTTCACTTAGGAGTAGGCCATATCCCTTTAAAAAAGTATACTGGGCCGGGTGCGGTGGCTCACACCTGTAATCCCAGCATTTTGGGAAACTGAGGCAGACGGATCACTTGAGGTCAGAAGATCAAGACTAGCCTGGCCAACATGGTGAAATCCCGTCTCTACTAAAAATATAAAAATTAACCAGGCATGGTGGCAGGAGCCTGTAATCTCAGCTATTTGGGAGGCAGAGGCAGGAGAATCGCTTGAACCCAGGAGGCAGAGTTGGCAGTGAGCTGAGATGGCGCCACTGCACTCCAGCCTGGACAACAGAGTGAGACTCCATCTCAAAAACAAATAAACAAACAAAAAACGTATATTGTTGGCCCTGGGCTGGCTGCCCTCATGGCCCTGTGGCCCCCTCTTGCCTGCAGGTGGGTGACATCACCATCCTGGTGAACAATGCCGCCGTGGTCCACGGGAAGAGCCTAATGGACAGTGACGACGATGCCCTCCTCAAGTCCCAACACATCAACACCCTGGGCCAGTTCTGGGTAAGGGCTGTCCCAGGCCAGAGCCAGCCCCCGGTGTGCAGGGAGCCCAGGCAAGATGGAGGGGAGGGGATGATTGCCAGGGCTTGGGCTCAGGCCAGCAGGGATGTCCACGAACGAGGTGGCCAGACAAGACGAATGACCAGCTCCAGGACGCATCAGACTTTGTGAAATGCGCTCATTGTCCCGGGGCCGGGAGCCCTCAGCCCTCTCCCTCGCAGGAAAGCTCGGGTACTAGAGCATCGTGTGTGTCCAGGGTGGGCTGTTCTCCCCGAAAGAAAGGTGGAGGGGTTGTCAGAGCTGCGGCTGCTCCACGCTGACACTCCATCCGCCCTCAGACCACCAAGGCCTTCCTGCCGCGTATGCTGGAGCTGCAGAACGGCCACATCGTGTGCCTCAACTCCGTGCTGGCACTGTCTGCCATCCCCGGTGCCATCGACTACTGCACATCCAAAGCGTCAGCCTTCGCCTTCATGGAGAGCCTGACCCTGGGGCTGCTCGACTGTCCGGGAGTCAGCGCCACCACAGTGCTGCCCTTCCACACCAGCACCGAGATGTTCCAGGGCATGAGAGTCAGGTCAGTGAGCAGGGGACCCACCTCAGAACCAGCCTTCTCACCCACCTCCCCAAGCCATGTTCAGTCAGCCGACTGCAGAAAGAGCTCTGATATAAAAATCAGGCTAGGGCCGGGCGCGGTGGCTCACGCCTATAATCCCAGCACTTTGGGAGGCTGAGGCGGGCGGATCATGATGTCAGACGATCGAGACCATCCTGGCTAACAAGGTGAAACCCCGTCTCTACTAAAAATGCAAAAAATTAGCCGGGCGTGGTGGCGGGCGCCTGTAGTCCCAGCTACTTGGGAGGCTGAGGCAGGAGAATGGCGTGAACCCAGAAGGTGGAGCTTGCAGTGAGCCAAGATCGCGCCACTGCACTCCGGACTGGGTGACTGAGTGAGACTCCATCTCAAAAAAAAAAGAAATCAGGCTAGGCATGGTGGCTCATACCTATAATCCTATTACTTTGGGAGGCCAAGGCAGGCGGATCGCTTAAGCCCAGCAGTTTGAGACCAGCCCGGGAAACATGGAGAAACCCTGTGTCTACAAAAAAGAAAAAATTAGCTGAGCATGGTGGTGCACACCCAGCTATTCGGGAGGCTGAGGTGGGAGGATCGATTGCTTGAGCCCAGGAAGTTGAGGCTGCAAGTGAGCTGTGATTGTGCGACTGCACTCCAGCCTGGGAGACAGAGTGAGACCCTGTCTCAAAACAAAAAGTCACCAAGGAGCCTCTCCCCTCTGCTTGACGCTGTCTTACCTGGTTCTCGGTCTGCAAGGCAGTGATGCCACAATGCGGAGGGTCCTGCTGCTTGGTTCAGGGAGCTTGTACGAAACTACCAGAGCTATAGGCATGCAGCGGGATGTGCCCAAAGGTCAAAAGAGGGAGACGCACCTCCACAGCCATCGTGCGGGGTGAAGGGAGCTGGAGACGTAGGGTGCATTCTGCCTGGTTCCACCTGTGTGAAGTTCCAAAACAGGCAAAACTGGGTTAGGGTGATGGAAGTCAGACCCGTGGCTTCCCCTGGAGGGCTGGGGGTATAACCTGGGAGGGAGGCCGAGGGAACTGTCAAGACTTTCAGAAATATTATCTCTTCTTGATCTCAGCAGTCATTAAATACGTGAAAGTTAATCAAACTGTCTGCTTAAGATTTATACCTTTTGTTGTATGCAAATTATAGCTCAATTTATTTGTTTTTTTTTTTATTTTTTTTATTTTTTTGAGACGGAGTCTCGGTCTGTCGCCCAAGCTGGAGTGCAGTGGCGCGATCTCGGCTCACTGCAACCTGCACCTCCTGGGTTCAAGTGATTCTCCTGCCTCAGCCTCCCGAGTAGCTAGGATTACAGGCATGCGCTCGCACCCAGCTAATTGTTGTATTTTTAATAGAGACAGGTTTCACTGTGTTGGCCAGGCTGGTCTCAAACTCCCGACCTCAGGTGATCCATCCGCCTCGGCCTCCCAAAGTGCTGGGATGACAGGCGTGAGCCACCATGCCTGGTCATAGCTCAATTTAAAATAAGCAATAGGGAGGTCCCACCACTCCCCCTCCAGACCAGTTAAGTCAAGGGGAGTGGGAGCCACTGGTCTAGAGCTCATGCCACCTGGGGTGGTGACTCCCTCATAGCTGTGATGCACTCTGTGACATTGGGTCCCATTAGTTACTGCTCTGGCTGATCTGTAAGATGGGGTGACGTGAATGTCTCCGTCATAAGTTCTGTGGTGAGGACAAAATGGAATCTGGCAGGGAACACCGTATGTGGTACATTTTAAGTACCCAATAAATGGCGCTTTAATGATGTGCAGTCATGTAGGGGCATGAGGTCATCGATGAATGAAAACTGGGAATTACTCAAATACTATTCTCCCTGGTTTTTTGCAATCTGGCTTACAGTGCTTCACCTTCTGAATTATACACTTCAGCTGCTTCCAAAAATGAGGATGACATTGAAGGGTCATGAGGAGAATTCAATGAGACCATTTAGTGTAGTGCATGCCACATGGGAGTCACTCATTCCGCCTTAGTTACTATTAATAGGGCCAGTGCGGTGTTGGTTGTTGAGAATCCAAAGTACCGGGCTTGGTGGCTCATGACTGTAATCCCAGTACTTTGGGAGGCTGAGGCAGGAGGATTGCTTGAGCCCAGGGAATTAGAAATAATACATGTAACACATCTAGTGCAAAGCCCAGATACTAGATGCTCAATAAGGAGCTGCTGCTTTTATTATTTTTACTAACAATAAACATCTTCATAAATGCATGTTATTAATTTTCCTAGCAGACTACCTGGTTTGCGTGCAAATTGTCATCAATTCTGAATTTCGAGGAGTCTAGACTAATGGCTACTCATGTTTTCTGTTGGCTTTTTCCCCCCCATGGGTTTTGGTTTGGTTTCTTTTCATCTGAGTATACAGAAGGTGCTCAATAAATGTGTAGTGCATCAGTGGCAGTCTGCAGTGTCTTCTTTTTTTGCTTTTTTTTTTTTTGGAGATGGAGTCTTGCTCTGTTGCCCAAGCTGGAGTGCAGTGGCATGATCTCGGCTCACTGCAAGCTCCGCCTCCCGGGTTCACACCATTCTCCTGCCTCAGCCTCCCAAGTAGCTGGGACTACAGGCGCCCGCCACCATGCCCAGCTAGTTTTTTGTATTTTTAGTAGAGACAATGTTTCACCATGTTAGCCAGCATGGTCTCGATCTCCTGACCTCATGATTCGTCCGCCTTGGCCTCCCAAAGTGCTGGGATTACAGGCGTGAGCCACCGCACCCAGCCGGCAGTCTGCAGTTCTAACTGGGTGTCCTGAGCACAGGAGCAAGCAGGACATTGCAGACATCAAGTTTGTGTGTCTATTTCACCTTCTAGCATAGTTTCCTTTCTCTCCTTTAAGAAGGAAATTCAAGGTTTTCCTGCCACATTTTTTCAGAGTGTGAACCCAAACTGCTTGGGGTCAAATCCCAGCTCTATGTGACCTTGTCCAAGTTACTTGACTTTTCTCTGCTTCAGTTTCCTCACCTCTAAAAAGGGATTCATAATAATGGTATCCCCAGCTGGGCACGGTGGTGAGCCAGTAATCCCAGCACTTTGGGAGACCAAGGCAGGCAGGTCACCTGAGGTCAGGAGTTCAAGACCAGCCTGGCCAACATGGTGAAACCCTGTCTCTACTAAAAATACAAAAATTAGCCAGGCATGGTGGTGGGTGCCTGTAATCCCAGCTACTCAGGAGGCTGAGGCAGGAGAATCACTTGAACCTGGGAGGTGGAGGTTGCAGTGAGCCGAGATTGTGCCATTGCACTCTAGCCTAGGTGACAGAGCAAGACTCCGTCTCAAAAATGAATAACAATAATAATAATAATAGTATTCCCTTTTCATGGGTTAGGTGAGCTCCCATGTGTGAATCATCTGGCCATGCGTGGGAAGTAGTGAGCACTAGGTGAATCTTAGTGATCTATGGTTATGCAGGGAAGCCCCAAGGGCTCGGCCAGAAGAGTAGTACAAGGAAGATGGGCACCTACCAACTCCCATTTCCTAAAAGAATAACAAATGGATGAAGCATCGGTTTCCTCCTACAACCATGCTTAGCAGCTTCCCAGGGTTAAATGGGTTAAATGCGAAGACATGTTTAGGACAAAATGGATGATTTTCCCAGTAAGACTGGCCATGTCAGTGGATGTTGTTGTTTATAAATTGCTATTTATTGAGCCTCTTTTTTTCTTTTCTTTTCTTTTTTCTTTTTTTGAGATGAAGTCTTGCTGTGTCTCCCAGACTGGAGTGCAGTGGTGTGATCTTGGCTCACTGCAACCTACACCTCCCAGGTTCGAGCAATTCTTGTGTCTCAACCTCTCGAGTAGCTGGGATTACAGGCGCCTGCCTCCATGCCCGGCTAATTTTTGTATTTTTAGTAGAGACAGTGTTTCGCCATGTTGCCCAGGCTGGTCTCGAACTCCTGGCCTCAAGTGATCCACCTGCCTCGTCCTCCCAAAGTGCTGGGATTCCAGGCGTGAGCCACCGCACCTGGCCAGTTGAGCCTCTTTGATGTTCCAGCCATAGAACCAACCGGAGCCACCAAACACTTAACTACTGCTGCATTTGGCCCTCACAGCAACCCTGCAAGAGAGCTTGTATTCCCATTTTACAGATGAGGGAACTGAGGCTCAGAGAAGCAGAGTTACCTGCTCAAGTCCACACAGCTTGGAACTGGCTAGCTGAGCATGCTTCTTCCACGAATTTGCACTGCTTCCATGGGAGTTAAGAGCTGTGCCAGTTCCCCGTGTCCCCATTCCACCCACCGTGGAGAGGAAGGAGAAAATCCTGTGCACAGACGTGCTTGAGGCCTCCTCTGTCGGCTTCCCTGGCAGAGGTCTTACCAAGAAGGATTCCCCTCAAGCCCAGGGACTTTGTTCTGTCCATCCTGCCTTCCCTTTCCCAAGAGACAGGACAGGCCACGGGTGGAAGCCAGAGAATCCAGACTGCCCACGACACCTGTAGCACTCCAGTATCAGGGAGGTGCCTCAACACGTTCATCTCTGCAGAACCGCAGAGACTGGCCCCTCTTGACCACAGGACTGTGGGCCTCAGAATCACCATCATGGCCAAGCGTGGTAGCTGGGTTCACACCAGTAATCCCAGTGCTCTGGGAGGCTGAGGCAGGGGAATTACTTCAGCCCAGGAGTTGCCAGCCTGGGCAACATGGCAAAACCCCATCTCTACAAAAAAACATGAAAATTATCTGGGCATAGTGTGTGTACCTGTAGTCCCAGCTACTCGGGTGGCTGAGACAGGAGGATCACTTGAGCCCAGGGAGGTCGAGGCTGCAGTGAGCTGTGATCATGTCACTGCACTCCAGCCTGGGCAACAAAGTGAGACCCTGGACTCAAAAATAAAAAATAAGAAAAGAATCACCATCATGTTGACAAAGGAATTACAGGGCAGGGGGTAAGATCCATGTGCTCTCTGAGGCCAAGCCCCTGCTGGGAGTCCAAGGGCTGCCTGTTGCTCAGGAATGACATCAAACCCAGGTGATTCATCACCCTTAATCTTCCTGGTGCCAGAGCGGATCACAAGCTTTCTGTGGGATTGGGGTCAGAGCCAGCAACATGAGCCCTGCACCTAAAGATCCAGCAGGGGCAGGAAGAGCAGTGAGCAAAGGTGATAGAGCATTGGACTGGTTTGAATCCTTAACGCCCTACTGACTCAATAGAGCCTCAGTTTCCTTATCTGTAAATCGGGAGAATAATTTGTGCTTGAGTCTGGCAGTTAGGCAACATCATCACTGTTTGGGTCTAGGGTCAGATGCTTCTGAATAGTCATGAGAGGCCCCTGACGTTTGCTATGCGATCATTCATTCATTCATTTTGAGATCCCATGGAAAGCACCGTGCAAATGTTTGAATCAATGAATCAATGAATGAGTTAGTGAAGCAGCAAGGTGAGCCGAAGCTGTCGCTAGCCGAGCCCCTGCCTCCAGACAGAATGAGCAGGACACATTTGGGAAGCAGCAAGTTGTCCGCGTGTTCAGTCCTTCAAGTATTTACTGAGCTCCTGCTACGTATCAGACGCTCCGCTGGGTGCGGGGGTTGCAGGGGAATAGGACCGACCAGGCCTCCACCCTCATGGAACTCAACAGTCTGATGGGGGAGACAGGCCACCGACAAGGAAACACCCCAACAAGCAAGGCCTTCCTAGGTGGGGTGAACGCAGTCAAGGAAATTAGCAGGGGACGAGATCAGAGGTTGCTTTGGGTGGACTGGCCTGAGATGTCTCCTAAAGGAGGAGCTGGGAAGAGAGAGCCAGGCCTCCCAGAGAGAGCTGGCAAAAAGCCCTGATCCGAGAGTGTGATGTGACAAGAACAGAGATGGGCCTGTCCTGAAGGAGCAGAGTGTAGGGAAAAGGACTCAGAAGGACAGCCAGGGCCCGGATGGTGCAGGGCTGTGGCGAGGCCAAGCCCTAGGGCACTGGGAGCCCTTGGAGGGCTTGGGAGAATGAGTCCCCGGTGGGTGGGCTAGAAGTCCTTGACTCAAGAAGAGACCCCTGTGCACCTGGAGGAGTGAGGAAATGTGGCACCTGGATGAGTGTGGGGTAGAGGGAGTACTCCAAGCAGGCCTCGAGTCTCTCAGACAGGAAAGGCCAAAGGGTGATCCAGATATGTCAGCCTCATAGAGGCTTCCAGCTAAGCACATGCCTCTCCAGGAGAAACCCACTGTGTCTCTTCCTGTGTTCAGGTTTCCCAACCTCTTTCCCCCACTGAAGCCGGAGACAGTAGCCCGGAGGACAGTGGAAGCTGTGCAGCTCAACCAGGCCCTCCTCCTCCTCCCATGGACGATGCATGCCCTCGTTATCTTGAAAAGGTATGGGGCTGGGAGAGAATGCTCTGGGTTAGTACACATGTGATCGATTAGTCATGTCTGCTGCGGGCATGAGCATGAGTGGTGGCACATTTGCCGTTGATGTGCTATACTTACCATGGGGCAGCAGTTCTCAAACTTGTTACTCACAGGGCCCCTGAGAGTTTTAAAAAGTATGGAGGTACCCAGAGCTTTTGTTAATGTGAGTTGTAACTATTGCTATTTACTATATTAGAAATTAAAAGCCAGGGCTGGGCGCGGTGGCTCATGTCTGTAATCCCAGTCCTTTGGGAGGCCGAGGCAGGTGGATTATGAGGTCAGGAGATCGAGACCATCTTGACTAAAATGGTGAAACCCCATCTCTACTAAAAATACAAAAAGAAATTAACTGGGCATGGTGGCGGGCACCTGTAGTCCCAGCTACTCAGAAGTCTCAGGCAGGAGAATGGTGTGAACCCAGGAGGCGGAGCTTGCAGTGAGCCGAGATCGCTCCACTGCACTCCAGCCTGGGCGACAGAGCTAGACTCCATTTCAAAAAAAAAAAAAAAAAAAAAAAAAAAGATGTATACATTTGTTTATAATGTTTATTCATTTATAAATAGCCATAACAAACCCATTACATTAATATAAATATATTTTTATGACAACTAGTTATGTATTCTAAAACAAAAGAAATGTAGTCAAGAGTGGCATTGTTTTACATCTTCGCAAATCTCTTTGTTTGGCTTAATTGAAGACAATTGGATTCTAATATGTCACATAGCCTCTGGAAAATTCTACTATTCACTAAGAGAATGAAAGTGAAAAGACAAATAACATCTTAGTATTATTACAGAAAGAATTTGGCCAGGCATGGTGGCTCACGCCTGTAATCCCAGCACTTTGGGAGGCCGAGGCAGGCAGATCACCTGAGGTTGGGAGTTCGAGACCAGCCTGACCAACATGAAGAAACCCTGTCTGTACTAAAAATGCAAAAAAATTAGCTGGGCGTGGTGGTGTGTGCCTGTAAACCCATCTACTTGGGAGGCTGAGGCAGGAAAATCACTTGAACCCAGGAGGCGGAGGTTGCAGTGAGCCGAGATCGTGCCACTGTACTCCAGCCTGGGCAACAAGAATGAAACTCCGTCTCAAGAAAAAAAAAAAAGCAATTTGACCTCACAGACCCCTGAAGAGATCTCGGGTACCCCCAAGGGTTCCTGGACCTCACTTTGAGAATCACTGTTCTAGAGCCTATTGGACATAGCCCCTGCCCTCAGGAAGTTTACTGCTAGAGGGAACATGGGGATCTTGATGCCAAGGGCTCAGAATTCACAGAAGCGTCTTAGTACCCGTCAGGTGGGATGTAGTGGGGCAGACCACTTTGGGGAGGTAGGCTTTATAAAGGAGAGACTCCTCTAGAATTTGCCTGGCAGCCTAGTTCTATTCCCCTAGAACTTTCCAGACTTTGTGCAGCAAACCCTTCCCATCCCAGTCCCACACTCAGTTTTCTTGGGCCTCTTAGTACAGCAGGAGATCCTTGTCCCTGGAGCCACAGGTGACCATGAGCTCTTGGCTCCCCTGGGGCTCTGGGCCCCACATGACTGAACCCCTCTGACCTGGAAGGCGTTTTCAGGAACGGAAGCCCCCAAGTGCCAGGCTGGCCCCTGCTCTCGTGCGACAGGCACTCCCAGGAGAGCCAACTTCTGCCCTGGCTGCCGGGACATGGTGAGTCCCAGCTGAGAGGCTGCTCCAACACACTCAGGGCACAGAAACCTCGAAACCGAGGGGCAAGCCCGATCAGCCCTCTCTTCCCCAAACTCAAAGCCCTTTCAGAGGCACAGGGAAGGGGGCACCCAGGGACATCCAGTCCACACGTTGACCTCCCTCAGTCCATCCTGACCTTGGGTCTGAGATGCTCCTCGGCCGTCTCTAGGAGCCCCTAGTTGATCAGGGGCTCAGGTCCTCACTGAGGCCAGGCTGCCACCCTCCACCTCAGGGGAGCTTCTTAGAAGCCTTCCAGAGCTTTCTAGAGAAAAGTTGGTCTAGAAAACCTCAGCACTCTCCACAGTAAGCCCTCAGCCTTATTTTCCGACCTTCCCCACAACTACTTTTCAACAGGAAGGAGGAGCCACCCACCTCCCCGTTCTCTGAACTGCATCCCTCCTCACCTTCCCCAGAAAAAAGCAAGGCTCAACTCTAATGCCACCACCCCCAGGAAGCCTTCCAGATTGCTCCAGCTAGAAGTGAACTTTTTCATCTTGTACTTAGAGTGGGCCAGGACCCTTCGGTTTGAGTGACCAGACAGCCTGAGGGCCCTCTCTGTGCCAGGCCCATGCAAGGGGGACCAGAGATAAAATACCTGCCATGAAGGCCCCCACAGGCTTGACAAGTAAACGGGCAAGGACTACACCAGGACTTGCTGGGGAAGCGCCAGGGCTCCCGGTTGCACGAGGAGAAGCCTGAGGGTGAGCCCAGGACACTTCCCCGGAGGATGTGACACCCAAATCGAACCTGATTCCTCAGATCCACACGATCATCTCTGTGGAATCGAGGGCAGTTGGGATTGATGAATCTCTGAGCTGCCTGTGGGCACCAGGATGCTAAGAGCTTGGTTTTGAAAGTGTGTGTGTATGAAGGGAGAGAAGGTCAGCACTCCCCTTGACAAGGAACACACACAGGTTAAGCCATTGTCACCTACTTAGTGGCATCCAACCACCATTTGTTTTTAATGGGTACAAAAAATAGGCCGAATAAGAACAAGTCTTTGATAGCACAACAGGGTGACTATAGTTAATAGTAATTTACTTGTACATTTAAAAATAACTAAAAGGGCTAGGCGCAGTGGCTAACGCCTAAAATCCCAGCACTTTGGGAGGCCGAGGTGGGCGAATCACCTGAGGTCAGGAGTTTAAAACCAGCCTGGCCAACATGACAAAACCCCGTCTCTACTAAAAATACAGAAATTAGGCAGGCATGGTGGCGCATGCCTGTAATTCCAGCTGCTCCGGAGGCTGAGGCAGGAAAATCACTGGAACCCAGGAGGCAGAGGTTGCAGTGAGCCCAGATCGTGCCACTGCACTCCAGCCTGGGCGACAGAGTGAGACTGTCTCAAAAATAAATAAATACATAAACATAAAAATAACTAAAAGCATAGTCGCATTATTTGTAACACAACAGATAAATGCTTGAGGTGATGGATACCCCATTTACGTTGATGTAATTACATACATTTGCATGCCTGTGTCAAAGCATTTCATGTACCCCATAAATATTTATACCTACTATGTACCCACAAAAATGAAAAATAAAAAATGAACTCTGTTTCAGAATCTAGGAAAAAGATAAAAAATTTAAATTAAAAAAAATTGCTCTTACCACCCACTCTTTGCCTTTTTAAAACATATATTTTAAAAAGAATTTGTGTGTGTGTGTGTGTGTGTGTGTGAGAGAGAGAGAGAGTTTTACTCTTGTCACCCAGGCTGGAGTGCAATGGCACGATCTCGGCTCATTGCAACCTCCACCTCCCATGTCAAGCAATTCTCCTGCCTCAGTCTCCCGAGTAGCTGGGATTACAGGTGCCCGCCACTATGCCCGCCTTTTTGTATTTTTAGTAGAGATGGAGTTTTGCCATGTTGGCCAGGCTGTTCTCGCACTCCTGAGGTGATCCACCCACCTTGGCCTCCCAAAGTACCAGGATTACAGGTGTGACCTACCACGCCCGGCCTGAAAAGGATTTTTGAGACAGGGTCTGGCTCTGCCACCCAGGCTGGAATGCAGCAGTACAATCTCAGCTCACTTCAACCTCCACTTCTTGGGTTCAAGCCCTCCTCCCACCTCAGCCTCCCCAGTAGCTAGGACTATAGGCACATGCCACCATACCCAGCTAATTTTTGTATATTTTTGTAGAGACAGGGTTTTACCATGTTGCCCAGGCTGGTCTTGAATTCCTGGGCTCAAGCGATCTGCCCACCTCGGCCTCCCAAAGTGCTTGGATTACAGGCATGAGCCACCGTGCCCAACCTCCCGCTGCCTTTTTAACAGCTGCGTATCCACTTACTTGAAAGCTCTTCCCCTGGGGAGGGTGGGGGTTTGGGGAGAAACTGGTGTGTGGCTTGGAGGGGTGGGGAGTTCTTTTAGGGACCAGCCCTCTGCTGCCCCATCTCACATGGCCACCAGCGACCGAGCCCCTGGATCCTGCCCCGCCGACCATCGCTGACTATCGCTGTTTTCTTTCCTTCCTCCCACTCCAGCATACTCCCACAGGCTGCACTTGAGGAGATCCACAAATTCTCAGGAACCTACACCTGTATGAACACTTTCAAAGGGCGGACATAAAGACAGGATGAAGACATGCTTGAGGAGTCACGGAGTTCGGGGGCCACAGCACCTGGGCACACACCCGAGCGCCTGTCCATTGACATGCTTCTGCTGGGTGAGCAGGACAGCTCCTGTCCCCAGAGAAGAATCTGGCTGCCCCTGGGCCAGTCCCAGGACCTTTGCACAGGACTGATGGGTGTAACTGACCCCCACGGGGAGGCAGGAAGCCAGCCAGCAGCCACCTTGACACTTTTGTACATTTCCAGTTCCATAGAGTTTATTGTTCAATTGCTTCTCAAGTCTCACCAGCCTCAGCAGTGTGCCTAGACCATTTCCAGGAGGGTCTGTCCCCAGATGCTCTGCCTCCCGTTCCAAAACCCACTCGTCCTCAGCTTGCGCAAACTGGTTGAATGGCAAGAATGAAAAATAAAGAGAGATGGCTTTTGTGAGTTCCTTTGTTCAAATCTTTGGTGGGCAGTTGGGAGGGAGCCAGTCCCAACCACAAAACTCCATCCTTTGAGAGATAATTGGTCTGTTCAAGGTCCCCAGCTGCTAAGGGTGGAGAGAAGGGGGCCGAAATCAGGAAAGAAAGTGTAGTCCAGGCCTACAGGCAGAGACAGGTGCCCGGTTCCTTGCCTGCTCCACCAGGCCCCTCCCAGCAGCCATGGGTTGAGGCCTCTTTGTCTCCCTGGTGTGACCTGTATGAACCAGTCTGCAGAGAGCTGGCCACAGCTAGAGATGCCCTCTGTCCTGCCATGGCACCACCAGCCCCCAGGCCATCAACTCAGGACAGCAAAACCAGTCTTTATGGAGCACCCACTGTCTACCTAGGGTGTGTGTGGTGCAGATAGGGGAATGTTGCTGAGAAGACTACCAGTACAAGAAACCAATAATCTGGTTAGGAAAGGATCATAAGTCACCGGAAATGCAGTGACAACTCCTCACCATCAGGTCAGTGCTGAGGGGTGCTACAGACCGAGTCCCATTTGATCACAGGGGTAGGGGGAGGTCTGGAGTGGCAGAAGAGATTGGCACAGGTTCCATCAATGGGGGCAAAGTCACGGCCAAAATGACCTAGTAGGGACGCCCCCTGCTTCCCCCGGAGCGCACGGTTCCTGCTGCCACAAGCTTAGTAAACCTCACCTTGGACAGTGGGGAAGGGAATGGGCCATGTCGTTTCATATCAAGTAGACTCCATTCATACAGCTCTTGCAGGTGGATGCCAGGGAGGCAGGAGGGGAACAGGCGAGGTCCCCGGGAGGTGAAGGAGGTCACAGCCCTCTGACTCAACCCAGGAGCTTTCCCAAGAGTCACATAAAGTCTTAACCTACATGTAAACCTCAGGCTGAACCCTCCCAACTTAGAGAATATTAGACACAGCTCAGGTGATCATCAATCTGGTCTATGTGCAGAAATGCCAAGTCATAATTATAGCCATGCTTTTTTTCTTTTTTCTTTTTTTCGACATGGGATTTCGCTCTGTCTCACAGGCTGGAGTGTGGAGAGGAGTGGCACAATCATGGCTCACTGCAGCCTCAACCTCCCGGGCTCAAACAATCCTCTACCTCAGCCTCCAGAGTAGCTGGGACTGCAGGTGCACGCCACCACGCCCAACTGTTTTCTTTTTCTTTTTCGTAGAGACAGGGGTCTTGCTCTGTTGTCCAGGCTGGTCTTGAACTCCTAGGCTCAAGCAATCCTCCTCCCTCAGCCTCCCAAACTGCTGGGATTACTGGTGTGAGCTACCACGCCCGGCCTGTAGCCACTCTTGATTGAGTACCTAGAATGGAGGCTGGTCCCCAGGCATAACGTTTTAACTGTTCATTATCCATGCCACTTGGCAGCAGCTGAAGACCAAAAAAACACAACTCCGAGACTGCGCTGGAGACTTCCAACAGCCTTGATGTGGAGCAGCCAGAATGTGACGCCCCAGTTTCAGTGGCTTCCAACAATGAAGGTGTCTGCCTTATTATTGCTACTTGTCCTTCAAGAATAGCTACGGGTGTGCTCCGTGTCATCTTCGCTCTGAAACTCCAGCTGACCAGGGGGCCTCAGGGAGGATGTCTTGTGGCACAGGGTAGACATACCTGGTGAACTGTGCACTGGCTCTTGAGGTTTCTGCCTGGAAACAACACCGTCACTTGTGCTCACCTTTCATTGGCCAGAGCAGGTCACGTGGTGGAGTCTGCTATTAACATAGCAGGAAATACAATCCTGCGTGGAGGCGCAGTCCCTAGTTCTGAACCAGGCTGCCACACCAGAGAAGATATCATGAGCAAAAATTAAAATATAGGTTGAGGACAGAGGGAAGCAGATGGATGGCTTCCAACTGCAAGCCCAAGGACATAGTGACTTTTGGGAGGGCACAGAAAGTGCTAAAGAGAGCCCTAACGAGGCAACGCTCAGTGTTTACCTCACGCTACACTTGTTTAGGATCTCACCCTGTTACCCCGGCTGGAGTGCAGTGGCACGATCATGGCCACTGCAGCCTCCACCTCCCAGGCTCAAGCAGTTCTCCCATCTCAGCCTCCTGAGTAGCTGAGACTACAGGCACGTGCCACTATGCCTGGCTCACTTACTCACTTTTTGTAAAGATAGGGTCTCGCTATGTTGCCCAGGCTAGTCTGGAATTCCTGGCTCAAGCAATCCTTCTGCCTTGGCTTCCCAAAGGAAAGCTGGGAGTACAGGTGTGAGCCACTGCACCCGGCCCACACTAACCTTTTGAAAAGTGGTATTATGAAGCCTATTCCATAAGTGAGAAGACACTCAGCAGGGGAAACCCTTGCTCAGGTTAGTGGGCTTGTGAGCACTGGAGCCAGATTTTTTTTTTTTTTTAGAAAGACAGGGTGTTTCTCTGTTGTCCAGACTAGAGTGCAGTGGCACAATCATAGCTCACTGCAACCTGGAACTCCTGGGCTCAAGGGATCTAGAACCAGCTCTGCCTGACCCCCTAGTCCCCTTGCTGACTACAGTACCAGGCGACAGCAAATGACGAGACCCCAAGCTAGGACCTATCTCCTTTTTGGTCCTTGAGAACATGTTACCAAAGTATGGGGGGGTTGCTAAAGAGGTCCTCCTGGAATGTCCACACCCACCTGTCGCCCCACCTGTAGTGTGTCTAGACACAAGTGAGCCCACAGGGCAGATGCCTCTCACTGGCTCTCCCAGGAAACAGATTGGGGATAAGCATGTCTCAGTGGGCAGGGATAAACGAGGAGGATGAAGTAGGGGTCTTGTCTTAGTCCCAATTTTTCTGACCATCCTTGAGCTGCAGACCCTCATGGTGTGGCCCCAGCCCAGCCTTTTGGAGAGGATTTGACTCCTGAAGTTTCCATGAAATTGCATTTAGCCTGCAGGCCAGGAGTGCAGCAAGGATCCCTGAAGTCTGATTGGACTCTGGGAGTTGCAAGCCCCGCCAGCCCTCCCCAGTTGCACTGAGAACCAATTACTGCGTTAGCAGAGTGGGACCCTGGCTTCCCAGAGCCCCAGGGACCTCTGACAGCAGGGCAGGGCCTGGTCCCACCCCACCCCCTCCCTCTCAGCCAGGAGCTTTCAGTCTTTTTCTGGATCTTTTCCCAGAGGAACCAAAAGAAAAAGCATCGGGCAGAATCCCAGGAGGCCCCATTCTGGTCCCTCTCCCAGATGGTTTGGCACTCAGAGAGCCTTGAGAGTGAGAGTGGAGAGCTAATTCTGTCCTTAGCTTGGCCATGCAAAGAAGAGTGACAAGTGCCAAACCCCCAAGGGGCAGGATGGGGCAGGCCAACCCTGGGAAGAGGACTTGGGTCCTGGGAAATAACCTCGTTGCCATGCTTAGGGTTCCTCCCCATCCCCAAGGAAAACCAGATTGGAGGTAGGGATCCGGCCCGGGAGGCACCAGATCCAAGCCCCATGCTGGCACCATTCCAGGGGCGTGGGCTATCTGGCCTGGTGAATGGTCAGGAATTGAGTCTGTGGCCACTTCCCCACTCCCAGGGGACAGAATGCTTTGACAAATGGACTTTCTTCCTCTTGAGCCAAACTGATGTCTGGGAGGGATCAAGGTGACAGAAAGCTCCTGGGCTGATCACACGGAGAGACTGCCTGATGAGACAGATAACCCTTGCCCCTGGAGACGTCCCAGTTCAGTGGGGATCGAAAAAGGAGCCATGTCACAAATACAGGAACCCCGCTGCCCCAGTCCTGATCAGCACAGAGGGAAGAAGATGGTTGTGGGTTGTGGACAAGGGAGTCATCTATGGTGAGAAGCAACCCCCACCCACCACAGCACATCTGAGACTTCTGACCCTGAGGGGTCTTCTCTGATATTCAGGAGAGGCCTTCCAGGGGAAGGAGGTCTGTGGTAAGAACCCAGAGGTCTATGCCTATGAAGAGGGCTTCTATATATGGGCACCCCTCACTTGAGGAAAAGCCAGGAGGTGACAAATGTCCCTTGTATTAGTTCATGCTCACACTGCTATAAAGAACTAGCCAAGACTGAGTAATTTATAAAGAAAAGAGGTTTAATTGGCTCACAGTTCCACAGACTGTACAGGAAGCATGACTGGGGAGGCCTCAGGAACCTTACCTTTGGGAATCATGGCAGAGGCAAAGGGGAAGTAATCACATCTTCACATGGCCATCAGGAGAGAGACAGAAGGGGTGAGTGCCATATGCTTTTAAACAACCAGAGCTCATGAGAACTTACCCACTATCACAAGAATAGGGAGGGAGAAATCCGCCCTCGTGATTCAATCACCTCCCACCAGGTCCCTCCCCCAACATAGGGGATTACAATTCAACATGAGATTTGGGTGGGGACACAGAGCCAAAACACATAATTCCATCCCTGGCCTCTCCCAAATCTTATGTCTTTCTCATATTTCAAAACCAATTATGCCTTTCCAACAGTCCCCCAAAGTCTTAACTCATTCTAGCATTAACTCAAAAGTCCAAATCCAAAGTCTCATCTGAGACAAAGCAAGTCCCTTCTGCTTATGAGCCTGTAAATCAAAAACAAGTTAGTTACTTCCATGATACAATGGAGGTACAGGCATTGGGTAAATGCTCCCATTCCAAAGGGGATAAATGGGCCAAAATAAAGGGGCTACAGACCCCACGCAAGTCCAAAACCCAGTTGGGCAGTCATTAAATCTTAAAGGTTCAAAATAATCTCCTTTGACTCCATGTATCACATCCAGGCCACAAAGACACAAGGAGCAGGCTCCCAAGGCCAGGCCTTGGGCAGCTCCACCCCTGGTGGCTCTGCAGAGTACAGGCCCAACAGCTGCTTCCACAGGCTGGTGTTGAGTGCCTATGATTTTTCCAGGCACACAGTGAAAGCTGTTGGTGGATCTACCATTTTGGGGTCAGGAGGACAGTGGCCCCCTTCTCACAGCTCCACTAGGCAGTGCCCCAGTGGGGACTCTGTGTGGGAGATACAACCCCACATTTCCCCTCTGCACTACTATAGTAG